TGCACCACTAAGACCATGCAGAGCTATGGCTTCCCGGAAGGGTTGCACATCAGTCTCTACAGATGAGCTAGTTTCCGTTGAAGTAGCTCGGTTAGGGGACACTACAGTCAGTCTTGGGGGAGCTCTAGAGTTTCGTGGTGGAGGAACCTTTCCACACAGGAAGCTGATCAAATCTTCTCTACGAATAGTTCTTCTGCGTTTTTTAACCCAAGCCAGCACATCCTCATTGCGTCGCTGATAGCCAATCTGAATTCCAATATCAAAACTTCGCTGACGGGTATCCACACTTTCTTTGTAGAGGTTGGTGACGGCGGTGGCTGCGTTTTGGAAGGGGACCCAGAGAGAAAGTCCTGGCTGCTGACACACTCGGTCTTTGTAGAGCTGGGCCACGGCGGTGGCCGAGTTCTGGAAGAGGTGCCACAGCTTCTGCTGCTTGTGCTCGGGCTGCGCGGCGGCCGCCGCCTCCTCCTGCAGCTCAGGGGACAGCTGCTCGTCCTGCTCGGCCTCGGCCAGGCACTGCCGCTCCCACTTGGAGAACCAGTGCTCGGCCCGTGCTCCTGGATCTCCGCCTCGCCCTCCACCTTCCGCTCCTCCCGCGGCCGCTGCGTCTTCCTCAGGGGGGGCCCCGCGGGAGCGTCGTCGTCTAGCGGCCCGGCGGCGGGCCCGGCGGCCGGCGGCTCCTCGCGGCGGCCCAGGCCTTCTGCAACCCGATGGCCGGCGACCCCGCCCCGCGGCCCGCGCAGCCCGGATGACCCCCGCCCCGGGCCTCCGCGCCCCTGGGCCCGCTGACGGCCCCCGCTTCGCCTGCCGCACTCGCCTACCCGATTTGTTCTTCTTTTTCTAGGGCTTTGAGATGTAATGTTAGGTCGTTTATTTGTTGACTGTTTACTCTTTTAAGAAATGAACTTTATGCAATGAAAGTTTCCTCTTAGTAATGCCTTCATAGTGTCCCAGAGTTTTTGAAGTGTTGTATCAGTGTTATCATTTACCTCTAAGAATTTTTTAATCTCTCCTTGGTGTCTTTTGCAATCCATTGTTCATTCAGTAGCATATTATTTAGTCTCCAAGTGTTGGAGTAGCTTTTATTTTTTATTTTATCATTGATTTCTAATTTCATTCTGTTATTACCTAATAGAATGCAGGGTAGTATCTCTACTTACTTTTAATATTTGCTTTGTGGCATCATATATAGTCTATTTTAGAGAAGGATCCATGTTCTGCTGAGAAGAAAGTGTATTTGCTTGTTGAAGGATGAAATATTCTATATATGTCAGTTAAGTCTAAGTTATTTATTGTATTATTGAGTTGTATAGTTTTTTTTGTTCTGCTTTTGTTTGGAGGATCTATCCAGTGGTGAAAGAGGAGTTTTAAAGTCATCTAGAATTAGTGTATTGTGGTAAATTTGAGTCTTGAACTTGAGAAGAGTTTGTTTGATGAACATAGATGTTCCATTGTTTGTAGCATATATATTTATAATTGTTATGTCTTGTTGGTGTATAGTTACCTTGAGCAGTATGAAATGTCTTTCTTTATCCCTTTTTGTTATCTTTAGCTTAAAGTCTACTTTGTTTGATATGAGGATGGAAACTCCTGCTTGCTTCCACAGTCCATGTGAGTGGTATGGTTTTCCCAATCTTTCACCTTTAGTCTGTGTATATCTTTTTTTTTTTTTAATGAAATAAATCTCTTTGATGCAGCATATCTTTTAGTCTTTTTTTTTTATCCAATCAGATAGCCTGTCTTTTGACTGGTGAGTTTAAGCCACCAACATTCAGGGTTATTATTAAGACATTTGTATTCCCAGCCATTTTGTTTACTTTTGGTATTTAACTTGACTTGGTTTGTACTTTGATTAATATTTTATTTAGTATGATACCTCCCTCTGCTGAGTTTCATTGGTGTTTTTCATTTTTTTTTGCCATAGAATATTTTGCAAGTATATTCTGCAGTGCAGGTTTTCTAACTGTAAATTCTTTTAACTTTTGTTTATCATGGAAGGTTTTTATATCATCAGAAAATCTAAAGCTTAAGTTTGCTGGTTATAATATTTTTGGTTGGCATCCATTTTCTTTCAGAGCGTGGTATATGTTGTTCCAGAATCTTCTAGCTTTCAGGATCTGGGTTGAAGAATCAGCACATAACCCACTTGTTTTTTTCCCCTATATGTAATCTGATTCCTTTCTCTCATAGCTTTTCATATTCTCTCCTTATTCTGTATGCTAGGCATTTTCATTATAATGTGACTTAGTGTGGAGCTGTTGTGATTTTGTACACTTGGCATCCTGTAAGCCTCTTGAATTGGTTTTCCAATTTGTTCTTCATGTTTGGGAATTTTTTGGATATTATTTTATTGAATAGATTGTTCATTCATTTGGTTTGGAACTTTATGCCTTCCTCTCTCCCAATAACTCTTAATTTTGCCTTTTCATGCTATCCCATATTTCTTAAATGTTCTGCTCATTTTTTTCTTACCATTTTCATTGTGTGGTCTAGATACTTTTCAAAATTATATATTTGTCTTCATTGTCAGAGGTCCTGTCTTCCAAGTAGTCTAATTTGTTGGTGATGCTTTCAACTGAACTTTTCATTTGGTTTATTGTTACTTTCATTTCAAGGATTTATCTTCAGTTTTTCTTTAGAACCTCTATCTCCCTATTGAAGTAATCTTTTGCTTTTTGTATTTGCTTATCTATCTCTTTGTTGAAATGATCTTTTGCTGCCTGCATTTTCTCTCTTATATCATCCTTTAATTCACAGATCATTTTAATTATGTACATACTGAACCCCTTCTTTGTCATTTCATCTTCTGTGATGGTCATAGATTTAATAATGTGGTATTTTGAATTGTTTGGGGCATTTTATTTCCTTATCTTTTCATGTTGCTCATGTGTCTTCCCTTGTAGCACTGTGAATTCTTGGTGTTACTGTTTTTACCCTACAGACTTATAGTGCTCCTGTAAGGTTCCAATACCTCACCATTGAGTGGTAGGACAATGTTAACAGATCCCAATATAAACAATATATCACCTTAAAAAAATTAGTTGTGAACAGACATTTACAGTTTGCTCATAATATACAGAAATTGTGAATTCAATTATTATCTACAATATGATCAGTAGGTTTGTAAAGGGTTTACAGTTTCTGATGGTGTACAAAAACCAGGGTGAGGTGCAGGAAGATATGTTGAGGATGTAGGAGGTGGGAATATAGAGTTATTATAACTTAGGAAGAGTAAAGTAGAAATCTAAAGAAGGTTAATAGCAGGAGAATACAGAGGAAGTAAATTTGAGTAGAGAAGTAAGAGGAAAGACAGTAATGTACATAAAACAAACACAGATATTAAGAAAAAAAAATCAACAATGTTAAAATAATAAAAATTGAGGGAAAAACAGAAAAAACAAAGACAAGAAAAAGAAAAAAATGTATACAACATAAGGATAACATACTAATCAGTTGTTTCAGAATTCAATGTCCTAATTCATGCAAAGTACTTGGTTTCACGTATGTTGGGGATGTGAGAGAGGGAGAATAGAGAGGGAGAAGAAAGAATAAAAAAAAAAAATCTCAAAAGAAGAAACAAGGATTGTTTTGCATGGAGATCAGTATCTTTTCTGTTTCCCTTCTCATCCAATAGGTGGGGTCATCTGTTGGTAGCTGCTATCTTCGCCTTCAGAATGGTGAAAGTAACCAGGGAGGGAGGGCTGTTATTGGGTGGAGGGCAACTGGAAGTGGGCCATGGCACCTGTCCATCTTCAAAGGGAGACTGCACCTCAGAGATCTCTTTTTGGGCCTGTTCCTGTGATGTGAGTGCCTGGTCTTATCTCCTTATCTTGCTTGAAGACCTCCCAGTTCCTAGTCTCTGTTAGTCTCTAAATTGTATCACACACACCCTCTCCGTTAATGCTCCATAATAAGGGTCCTTTCTCTCTGGGGCTCTTGTGTGGTGCTTTTGGCATGCTGCACACCTGCTCCATTGATAGCTGTTTATTTTGTTGTTGTTGTTGTTGGGCAGTCACTGTGTTGGGTTAGGGACTGTTGGGGAGAGGGAGGAGTTAGAATCTGGGTACCTGCCCAGCTGGAGTTTCAAACAGGGAGTTGCCCTCACTAAAGATGGTGATAAAGGTGAACCAAGATGAAGGCATCTGCTTTCAGTGATGGGGTATTGGGTCGGGTGGGAGGAGCCAGGTGATGGTGTTTGAT